GGACGCTCATCCGTTTACACACAGCTGCCCATAGACTTGCATAGAGCATGCGACTGGGTCCTGCTGAAAAACTGACAGGCGGACCCAAACAGATTGCTCATGTGAAGGGGGCCTTACAGTACAAAATGCACAAAGCCCATAATTGCCTTAATTCAACTACAACCCTAATCTGCTGCCAGCTCATCCATGAATTACCTAGTATTTTTGGGGATGACAGACATCCCAACTCTCCCGGATGCTCCGGGAGTCTCCCGCTATTAGATAGTGGCTCCCGACCGCCCGGGAGAGAAACCCTTCCTCCATTTTTTTTTTCTTTTCTGACATCGGGAGCCGCGGCCCGACCGTCAGTCAGTCAGAAAAAAAAGGCATAGAATGCATAGCTGGATTCCTATTGGCTATTGCACTTTGCAATAGCCAATAGCAAACTAGCTAATGCACCCGCCCACTGCTGCTGTCAATCAGCAGAGGGGGACCTGAAGTTTTCTATCAGGTCATCTTCTGGGGATTGAAAGCAGCAGAGGGCGGGTGCATTAGCTAGTTTGCTATTGGCTATTGCAAAGTGCACTAGCCAATAGGAATCTAGCTATGCATTCGTATGCCTTTTTTTAAATTATTCTGATGACTGCAACTGTCAGAATACTAAAAAAAAATCAGAAAAAAACCCTGCAGATAGCAAAGAAGCTATTGCTTACTGTGCTATCTGCCATCATTTCAGTGGGGTGCTCTCTCCCAGCCCCTGCTACCCCCCCCTCCGCGGATGGGGGGAGGGGGAGGGCACCTCCCTGAAATTGCTTCTTTCAGGTTGGGATCCCTGGGATGATGAAATACTTAACATCCCCTGTGCAACTTTAAAATGTGTGCCTGATTGTCCAGTTATTGAGCTCTGTCACTTGCGGGCAGTAGTTTTCTTAACTGCCAGCAGGTTTTTTTCCTTACTTAGAAAGTCAAAACTTATACAGGAATCTCAGGCAAGATGCCAATGGATCAGAGTACTGGTGTAGCCAGAGAAGTTAAGTACATGCTCAATGGACACTGTACAGTAAAGTAAACCCAGTATTTTGCTCAGCATTTCTTGTGAAAGTGGAATTCACAAGATAGCTCAGCTCCAGCATTCACAGATGCAAATTAAATGCATAATGCAAACGTGAACAAGCATAAAGCAGAAGTAAGATATAGGATGAAGATATACACTGAGTGGCCAGATTATTATGACCACCTGACATTTGTAGGCAAATTATCCATAATTAGCTATAATTTTGCGCTGAAGTTGCTAGAGGGCCAGACCATTATAAATAGGGAAGCAGGTTGTTTACCACGACAGTAGAAGTGATTTTTTTTCTGAAGATATGGGTAAACAACGCGATTTAACAGCCTTTGAACGTGGGATGATTGTTGGCGCGGAGCCATGGAGCGAGTATCAGCAAAACAGCAGAATTAGTTAAATGTTCAGGAGCAGCTGTTGTTAAAGTGTTTAAAGACTGGACTGTCAGCTGAAAATCTGGGTCTGAACGTGCGAATTGTGGCCGTCAGCGACTAGTCAATGTTAGGGCAGAACGGAGAGTGGCAAGACTGGTACAAGAAAACAGACGGGCAACAGTGCAGTGTCAGATTCCTCGCATCACCTTTCAACATCTGGTGGAGTCACGAGGCGGCCCAACAAAGTCATCTCGTGGCCCAACGAAGTACTGATGGGGTGGTCATAATAATCTGGTCACTCAGTGTAGGTCAGTAGAGAAACACCTGCCACATGCATTAAAGACTTTCATTTTTATAAACTGAATTGAAAAAGTACCATAGAATTGCTTATATAACTTGATCACATGAGCTGACAGACAAGATATTTCAAAAGATGCAGAAGAAAGGATCACTGCAGGGGTTCTAATGGGTAACACTGTCTTATGACAGTGGTAGTGATTTACTGTGTAAAACAATAATTAGGTATGACAGAGGGAGATACTATGCTCTTAATTACCTTCTGTGGGTAACCGGTGCATCATTTTACCAGTAGTCATAATTGCTACAATTACAATTGCTGCCATTTTACTGAGATGCCATCCAGATCAAGATTTATGGGGTGATTTACTAAAGGTAAATATGCTGTTCACTTTGCAAGAGAATTTGCACTTTTCAGGGGAAGTTTCCCTTAGCTTGGTGAATGAGGTGAACCTCTGCTGACACCCGCAATTCAATCTAACAAAAATACAATTAATTTTCCTTGCACATGTATTATTTGCAAAGTGAAATTTTACTACATGAAACAAACTTCAGGAAATTTCCAGTGAAAACTGCAAATTCGCTTGCAAAGTGAACAGCCTATTTGCCTTTAGTAAATCAACCCATTAGTTTTTGAAATATCAAGAATCTTGACTGCAGACCAATAATGTAAAATGTAGAACACACTGAAGAAGGATAAGGTGTGTGCTACAGTTGAAGAAAAATGATTGTATATGTTTAAGAAAAGTTTGCTCTTATGAATTAATTGTCATTAATTGTAAACGTAAATGTAATATACAAATCCGCTATACTGTGTTGAGAAGATTAATCTATATAAACTAAGAAGCAGTCCACAGAGTGAAGTGGAAACAAACCGGCAGTTTATTCAGGTGAAAGCATAAATACAACAGGTAACAGCTGCATTCCTGAGGCATTTTGCACCAAGAGATATTTGTACTGTTCTATTTAAGCTTTGATCTGAATATACCTCTGTTTTCTTGCCACAATACTCTTTGGACGGCTTCTTTGTCTGTGTCTGATGACCTGGGCAAAGCTAAGGCTATGGAAGCATAGTAGTGGGTGCATTATAGTTGGTTTTCCCTAGCTGTTTTCTTCTGAAAAGACTTGTTTAGTCATCTTGTGCAATGTAATATCCCATTAACATATTTATGCAACGAAACACATGAAAACTTTATATATGAAATAGAGTTTATTGAAGAGAATTCTATGTTTTTTTGATGTTTATCCCCCACAAGGGCACTGTATATTGCCTGTAACATAGTCTTAACCTGTAATATTTGAATAAAATAATATAGATTTAAAAAGCTCTGCCCTTTTTGTGTGATTTTTGTTTTGTCTCAGTAAAGTTTTGCTATATTTCTTCTTTTCTCTGATGGTTTCCTTTAAGTCCCAAAACAGGGTCTGCTCTATTCAGGTCCTGGTGGAAATCCAGAAGGATCCAAACTGGATACATATAGCATATGTGTCCAGTTTGACCCAAAGCAAGAGATGCCCATCCTAAAAACATTTTAGCACATCTTGGAGTTAGTCTGCAACTCCAGCTCAAGCCCGGCATTTTTAAAACTTTTGAAGGTAAGTATACAAGTATCTTCACTACATTTCATACAGTTGTATCAGCAGGCAAGAAAATACATTGCATCTCAGCAGAAGCAGCACAGCAGGCAACAGTGTGACTAAGTTATTAAGGAACTTTTAGCTCCCAAAACCTAAAGAACTTAGCAGTAGAGTGGCCTCACCATCCCACTAGGGTATGGACTTTGTAAGGCCACTGGTGAGAAGGCATGCAACATCATGTGTATGAAATCATAAAGCTAGATGTAACTTGAGTACTGAGGGAAGGTACAAAGAACTGTGGATCAAGCTGATTATAGAAGCACTAATAAAGTTCTGAGTCAGACCATGCCTATAATGTATGTGCTTGGCTTGTAATTCATATATGTTTTACTCATTAGGATGACAGGTGGCATCATATTGTGTTGGCCAGAACGTTCTTGCAATTATTGGGCATGCTATGTCCAGTGACATAATGAAGCAGGACCCTCTAATAAGTTGTTGCAAGGGCTCCAAAACAGTGAGAATGGCTAATATCTGTGCTCTCATTGGTCCGTGTACAGGACTAGAACCATCAATATATTGGTGCAAATATTTTGCAGTACTATTTTTGTGCCTACAGTATGCTAGAATTAGGAATGCACTTAGCTGCATTGGGCATTATAAGATGTTGTGTAATATTTGATGCACTGCTTCTAATTAGGGGCAGTTTTCTCGTTACCTTAGGTAAGTAGGTAGCACAGTTATAATTACTGACTTCCAAACCTACTTAACCTTGTTCAGTAGCTTGAGGAACTGTATTTCATTTATAGTATTTTACTTGGTAGGTCTCATATTTACCACTGCTGCTAAGGAGGAACAGGCAAAGTTTTTTCAGTTATATAAACATGATCTACTTGTAGTAAAGGAAAAAGTATCATAGACTGTACATTAATTTTCTGTACTCCTTCTCAGATCTCCATTTGACTCTAGAACAGGATATACTAAAGCTCTTTGCATGCCCTGTCTTCTTTTTAAACATAACAGCTAGCAGCAGGTAAGTTGATTTACAGCTGTGTGTTTTATCATTTCAAAAGTCCAGTAACATTTTATACCATTGGTATTAAAGATTTGTCCCTTTCTCATCATGGACCTTTCCTGCAGCATTTTCTGCAGAGGAAAAAAAGCCAACAGAGTGAGGCCGCTTTGTAATTGTAGAGCTAGGAATTCAGCTGCAGCTAGTGTAGCCACTGGAACCCATGAGAGAAAGGGAGTCACAATCAGTTTAGGTCGACTGACAATTTTATCCTTACAAATTGACTAATAATCACCCAGTGTGTAATGGTGTCATATTAGCTACAGAGGTAATAGTGAGAAGGTAGCATTTAGGTCTGCCTATGTGTTAAAAGACCCCAACAATAATATTTACCAGAGATTAAAAAGAAAAAAACAGGGACTTATAGATATGACACTCCAAATAATGCACTTCTGTTGTTCAGCCTGAACAATAAAGTCCAAAAGACAATACACTGACTTGATTATTGCACTTTCTTCTCTTCTTGACAATAATTTTAAGCTAACAAGTTTTTATTTGCTATGAAGAATGTCATCCAGCACAGTACAAGTCTCTGAATCCATTGTGATTTCCTGTAGATCTCTATTCAGATCAGGACAGGTCAGGTCCATGCATAACAGGACTCACGTAGAGTGTATGCTAATTTTAAAAAGAACAAGGTTTAAAAGGAGGTTGATAGTGCTTCAGTTGATAGTACCCCTGGTATTAGATCATACGCTTCTCTTTCAACTTCCTTAATAATTCCTGAGGTGTTTGGGCTGATATTCTTTGTCGATGTTCCAGTCTTTCCCTCAAGCCAGTAAGTTGTCATGTCTCCTTTGCCCTATGGAAAACAAAAGGTAAATCACATATATACAAACTGAATGAATATCTAAGGCACATGCTAGCGTAGGGTCCAGAGGTCCATCAACATACAATTATAATGCCACTTTAGACCATACCTGTTAATAAATACCCTAGAACTATTTGTCATAACTGAGCAATGTGCTTTCAACAATATGAGAAATGTAATTCTCTGATTATGGTACCTGTCAGTGTATGCTGCCATCTTACATTGATTCACATTGCGTACTGTTTGTTGTAGTTAAAATATACCTGTACTGAGAGATTTATGTAGGGCTGCCATTGTATACCTTTCATTTTGAAAATGTTAGTTATGTTGGTTCAGTGGTTTAAAATGTTTTGATTCACCAACCAGGAATCAGGGTTGAACCAGCCTAAGGCAAAAGCCAAGAGGAAGAAAAAAAATCTATTAACATGTTTTCATGTGACACAAAATTGTTAATCAGGGTTAATTAGGAAAAAAACAAAGGTGAATAAAAGGTTGAACAGAAAAAAACTTTTATTTAAACATTGTAAGGTTGCTGGAATTGACATGATAAAAATCTGCATGTAAAAGCAAAAAGGGGATTATTCGTTAAGCCAAGTGAATAGCTGAGCCGAAGTGATGTGAGCCGAATGCCGTTCGGCTATTCACTTCGATACTGTTTGGCTGTTTTCAGCTGTACATCGGCTAAAATCAGTTGTATATAGGGTAGCTTCGGTTCAGCTGAGCATGCTCAGCATGTTCGGCTGAGCTGAAGTGGAGGAGCCGTTCGACTCAGCCGATCCAACATCTGGATTGGCTGAGCCGAACCTCCGGCAGTTCACTCGTTGCTGTTCGCCATATTCTCATAGGGGCCGAATGGCAGTGAGTAAATAGCTGAATGCCGCCAAATATAAAGATGACATGTTAATAAGAGAAAAGAAAAAGAAAATGGTGTGGGATCCCCATTCCGAACCATACAAGAGCCTTTAGGTCTGGTTGGAAATTAAGTAGGGACAAATATGATAGGTGTCGACAAAAAGTAAACACACGGGTGGAGTTAGCGGTGACATCACCGCTGGCTCCACCTATTTGTTTTAAATTGGCCGGCATCTGTCATATGGGTCAGCCAAATCAAAACAACTGGGCAGAGCCAGCCGTGATGTCACAGCTGGCTCTGCCCAGTTATTGTCATTCAAGGACAGCCCAGTGTCCTCAGGTCATTTGAGGACAATGGGCTGTCCTTGAATGACAACAACTGGGCGGAGCTGTATGGGCTATTGTAAATAGTCCGTACAGCAGCCCTTACGTTCGCCTGAACCAAAGGGCTCTGGCGGCCGAAGAGAGCCGAAGGATTAGCCAAGTCTCCGGCTCTTTCGTGAATAACTCTCCTAAAAAAAAACATTGTAATGAAACTGTTACAATATATTTTTGAACAAAGTACCACTGCAGGCTGCATTTTTACTGGAGCCAAACAGATCGGCATCCAGCTATCAACATCAAAGTGCTGAGTGCTGATCATACTTGCACTGTGACAGGGTTTTGAATATATACCTGCCATCTCCTTCTCTCTTGCACCTGCCTTTGTGTCTGGGTACAGTCGGACTGGATACATTGACATAATTTCTCATTTCCCAGCCTATTTTTTTTTCAATTGACTGATTTAATATAACCATATGATAAATTATATAGTGGAAACAAATTAAAAGCAGCATCAAGACCAAAATGCATCTGTTCAAACTGAGTTGATAAAACCTGTAATAATATGTACAAGATTCCTGGTTAAGTAATGACTTGCCTTATTGAACATGCTTAATCCTATTTATTCTGTGTAATACTCAGGATTGTAACACTATTCCATGAAAACCAACAATGTAAATGTGTTATGGCATCTATGATTAACCTTTTCCCTGCAACATAATGAATATGGTGGAACACATCTGCTTCTAGCTGGCCAGGTCTATATGCCTTACATCGGCTGCATTCCCTTCAGCTATAAATTCATGGTCGCTAAAGCGACCATGAATTTACAGCAGAATATGTCCCCTAGACCAGGCCTCAAAATTTCCACTCGCCCCCTCGCAATTGGCGAGTGAAAATTTCATCGAGGAGCGCCAGCATTGCTTAATGAATAACTGTAATCAATGGCTGACATTCCTAAGAAATGGGGAAGCCATTCACAGAAAGGGAAACACCAGGGATCTGTTTAGATCCCTGATGTTTCTCCAAAGAGGATCTGTCATAATTGTTGTATATACTGTGCTTGCTGGAAAGTATCGCTTTCGAATGTCTGCCATGATCTGCTAATATGTTTTACATACCAGCACGTATGGCTAAAAGCTCAGGGGGCATTTCCCCCTCCTTTTACTTCCAAATTAAATGTAAAAAAAAAAGTAAAAATTAAATAAATAAATTAAACATAGCATTAAAATATTTGTTATTCATGAACTTGATAAAGTTTTATGTTTTACATTTAATTAGAATATTGCAAGCTCTTCTGGCTTGGCAGGTCTCGGGGCGTTGCACTTGTAGCAGTTCTTCCATTATCAAGGACCATTTTGCGTGCGCTAAAAACTATTTTAGTGTATGTTTATGAAAAATATAGTTTTGATAAACATTTGGTCAACTATTGGTCAACTATTATGGGACCAGCAAAATTAGTAGTATTTATTGTATCGGTGCATTCAGAAAATCTATGGTTTGGGGGTCTTTTACAAACACTGAAAGGAAAAAAGAATAAAAAAGTGAAAAATTGCAAAGATGGTCTGGCCACCCGAGGTGAAAAAAAGGGAGCAGGGCCAGGCAGTGAAAGGGGAAACCATTAGAGCCTAGTTTAAAAGATAATAATATTTAGTAATAAACACATTTTATATGAATACCTTAATTGATAATGTCCCACGGCATACCAGAATATAACCTCCAACTTGTTTCAGTAGTTCAGATGTACTGGAGCTGCACTGGATTTTGAGTGCTGGGAAAAACAAGAAAAATGTCTGTTGAGATACACATATATGTACTGCATTTTCCAAAATATGTTTTTTTTCCGCTTAAAATCTTTCATTTTATGCCCTATAGGAATCTGCCTGTCTCAACAACGCCATCTACCCGAGGGAGCCCTGGCTCTTCTGGCTTGGCAGGTCTCGGGGTGTTGCACTTGTAGCAGTTCTTCCATTATCAACAGTACACACATATTTTGTTGAGAAAGCAGAAATCACAGTTGAATTATATTTCACTGTGCTCATATATGGTCACTAGGGATGCACTGATACCAGTTTTTCTGTATCGAGTATGAGTATTGATATTTTTTCCAGTACTCGCCAATTCTGAGTAGCAATACTGGTGCCGTGTGCCCCGATTATCAGGAAGTTGGGCTGTGACCCATGCCCCACCTACCTTATTGCATGGGAAGCTGGTGTTCTATCAAAAGTACACCGGCATCACTTGCCGAGGCTGCCTGGCTTTCTGACCAATCAGGAAGCCAGGCGGCGGGTCATGAGGTGCCAACTGGCTTCCTGATTGGTCAGGAAGCGAGGCTGCCTAGCAACAAGTGCAGCTTCCTGATTGACTAGGAAGCCGGCTTCACTTGTTCCTAGGCAGCCTGGCTTCCTGACCAATCAGGAAGCCAGGAGGCAGATCATTATGTTCCGCCCGGCTTTCTGATTATTTAGGAAGCCAGGCTGCCTAACAGTGAGTGAAGACGGCTTCCTAGCCAATCAGGAAGCCGAGAGGCGGTCATAAACCATCGCCTGGGTTTCTAATTGGAAAGGAAGCTGGCTCCATGCTACCTCAGCACTGCCGGTCAGAAGGAGATCTACCTCTGACCGGCAGTTCTGGTACCAGAGGTAATTTCGGAACATTTGGACGAGTACAAGTACTCGCCCAAATACGTTATCAACCATTAATCAAGAGCACTGCTGTAGTCACAGTTCAATACAAGACTACTAGTTAAATTACAATGCTAGCAATAGGGGTTGCAGGATTAAACATCTATTAGCAAGAGGGTAGTGGGGAAGGAAATAAATACAGCAGCACAGGTGGCAAAAGAAACAAACATTGACTGAGAAGAGTCCCTGTATATGGCAGACCTACAGATAATATTAAAACAAATGGTGCATTTAATATATAGGTCGAGGCCAGCAACATTTGTCAAAGTATTGTAACCCTATTCATAGCCATAAGCATTTAAAATGTGCAGGCTACGCTGGGCTAACCCTGGGGTATCTGTTGTGACACTAGAAGTGAATCCCTACTTGATATACCGTAACCGGTCTACAGTACATCTAAAAGTGGCCGTAATACATCAATGAGATCTATGTGACTTGAGCTTTGTCCCCAACTTTAGGCTTAAATATTGGTATTGGTATATTTTTGAGCTTGCATATGTGTCTAGTTTGCCTGTTCAAGCACCATTCTGTCTCATTGCTATATGTAAGCTGGTCACAAATAGAGGGTCTCACCCGTGACAGGTTTTCAAAATGTACCTAATTAGTAGGCTTTAATTAGAACTCTGGGTAAGATTCTTCTTAACCCTTGCAGTGGGGCTACCCCCGCACTGCAAGGGTTAAGTGCTCGTTTTTGTCTAGGTCTAAAAATTACAAAGTCATCATTCTCCTCCAGCCTGACACCTCCTACGCTGCAGCCATAATATCTCCCTCTGTGTCCTCATGTCTTATACAAAGTGTATAGAATGTGATGACTCAGGGACCTTATACCACTGGAGCAGAGCGGGAGCGAGGCTGAAGGCCGAGGGTCCAGTCAATATAACTTTGTTATTTTTGAACCTAGGCAAAAACGAGCACTTAACCCTTGCAGTGCGGGGGTAGCCCCACTGTAAGGGTTAAGAAAATGTTTTACCCGTAGTTCTGCTTTAAAGTTTTTTCAACTAAATAACTATGCATTGCTTTTAATGCAGGGAAATCCACAGAATGTTGTATTAGTTTCTATAATGTGTTGGTGCGACTGGTGTTGGAGGCCCAGCTTTCAGAACAGACTGTCAACAGACACTTATCACTTTTTTTCCTCCACCAGTGATAACTTTGAAGTTATGTTTGGGCAAATGGTATAAGAAATGTTGTCAGGGAGGAATAAGAGCATTTTATCTTCTCACCTTTATATAACAGAATATGCTTACACCAACATTCCAGCACTAACACCACATTTGCACTGCAATTTATAATATGTAAATATTCGGTTTCTTTTATAGTTACTATTACATTATCACTATACATTTAAAAAGAAACAATTAAAGTTCCCTGGGTTTATTTGTAGTAAACCTGTAATTTCTTCTGAAAGGATGCAACTAGAAAGTAGACTTTTAATGTACCATGTCATGCATTCACAGCATTGTGTACTGTTGAAGCCTCCAGAGATATATGCTAGGAATACCCTTGCATGTGACAATGCTTGGCCATGATAACAGGATGTTCAGAAACTGATATACACAGGGGCTTGTAAAGGGAAGGGCTTGTTTGGTGTAATGCTTACTCTGTCTCCTGGAGGAATATGAGCAGATCTAAACATTGTTGGGTATTTTTTATTTAAAGCATTCCTATGAACTTGAATTAGAGTTTTTGTCCACATTATATACATCCCTCGCTGAACAGATGTAACATTTTATCTCTGTGATAGATGGTTTTCATGATGTAAGCAACATCTTTGCTGAATTACTTTTTGGGCAGAACTTTCATGGTCTAAATTATTTCCTCAGCTTGTCTTGAGGTATCTAGAACTAGAGCAAACTAGGTGAATACCAGTTAGAATGAAAATGTTAAATCTCTCTGTTGGAGTAAAGCATGCTATCTGGAACCAACTCCCTTATCATGCTAATGGTGGGATTTTATCCGGTAGTTTATAATAGTGATTCTCAACCTTTCTTTAATCATGGCATGCTTTAAAAGTAAAATGTCATAGTTTTTAAGGGGGACCCAACACAAAAACACACAAAAAATGGGTTCTCCCTGCACATCGAAGTGCTCCCTTTAAATCAACATTTCTCCCCCCTTCAAAGCAGAGTCACCGTTTCCATCAGTAACCAACTTCACATCACAAGATCCTCTTTTACATCAGAAGCCCCCCTTTCATATCAGAATTCCTATTTTATATCAGTCTCATTACCCCCTTCACATCACAGTCTCACTGCCACAAAATCAAGGTCAAGTCCAACGGTTAAAAAAGTTAATAAATGCACACATATTCATAAAAGAAAAATATGCATTTCATATATTTTCGCATTGGAGCCAGTAAAACATTGCAACTGGGATCAGTGGATCGCGAGTGCAATGCTCTGGCTCCTGTAAATTTTTCCTCCAGTCCATGTCCGTACCACGGTATGGACTTTCAGTTACACAAACCGAAGTAGGTGTCAATGGACTACAAGGGCGGTGATGTCATGTGATCATGTGACTCGGAACATGGGTATAATATGAAACATGCTATAAACATGGCAGTATGACTGCTGTAAAAAGCTATATGTATCCTCTTCAGTACTGCAGATTTGCAACTATTTTGCATTGGCTTTCTATCATCTAACACAAATGGATCATTCACTAAAGCATTTAAATAACGCAGTGGCCCCAAACTGTGAGGCACTTTTTTCCAGGTAGGCCCCCTTCCCATCTAGCTCTGAATGTCATCCATTATTTTTAAGGGTTGTTACAACTCAAGATTTACCGATTCTGTAGATTGCGTTGACTGAAAACATTTTCTCATTGTAAAGTTATTATTATGAGCATTTTTTGTGTCTGCTTTTCTGGGAGGACATGGTGATCAGCTTTCCAGAGGTATATGTCACAGTCAAGTCATATTTCTGTACTTCCAGCAGCATTCTTTGTAGCCTTACATGAGCTTTTCCAGAGTGTCTTTACAGAAACGTTTTCAATGCTTTATGGTAGAATTTATCTTTACACTAGCTCCAGAAATTACCTGGTGTAATTAATTTGTTGTATTATAAACTATAGGACTAACAGCTCTTTTTAAACCTGTGTTTCACTTTGCTTTCCACATTATAATTCATATGTTGTAGGTTCCACAACTGCCGATGTATGGCAAATATTGGCAGCAGCAAAAGAGTTAAAGACTGTGCACGTACTCGCTGCAATATTTTTGAGTTTTTGTGTGTGAAATAAATACACTATAATGCAGATTTTTTAAAAATAAAATCTGTCTGGCAAAGAAGCCTTGTCAGAGTTTTTAAACATTTTGCACGTACTCACTGCAATAGTTTGAGGGGTTATTTCAGTGAAATAAATAAACTATAATGTAATTTTTTTAAAATAATGGTTTGCTGGTTTGGGGCCTGTTGACACAGTGCCCTTTTCAGAGGGGTCTATTCACGAAGCTGCCGAAGGATCTGGCCGTAGCTTCGGCCGATCCTTCGGCTAGCTTCGGCCCCAGGACCCGTTCGGTTCAGTAGAACCGAAGGGCTGCTGTACGGGCTATTCACAATAGCCCGTAGAGCTCCCGAACATGGCCGAGCGAAAAGACACAGCAGTGTTTCTCTGCTGGGCGGCCGGGAGCGGGGGCTCCCAGAGCGCCCGGGAGAGTTTTTTTCATTCTTTTTTTTTTTACAGCAGCACAGCCGACGGACAATAGGAAACTATTGGGCGGAGCTAGCTCCGCACAATCATTTTCTATTTACTTTTTTTTACCTTTTTAAACTCGTTTTCTGTTCTGAGGGACAGAGCAGAACAGCCGAGCCAAATGTCGAACTCCTTCTGCACTTCGGGTCGGCCGAACATGCTGAGCATGTTCGGCCGGCCCGAAGCCAGCGAAGCAAGCCGATGTACGGCTGATTTCAGCCGATGTACGGCTGAAATCAAACCGTATCAGCCTGAAGTGAATAGCCGAACAGTGTTCGGCTCACTTCACTTCAGGTCGGTCATTCACTCGGCTGCCTACGGCAGCTTAGTGAATAGACCCCAGAGTGTTTTAGGACTGTGCACATACTCACTACAATATTTTGGGGGCTTGTTTCTGCGAAATAGATACACTGCAATGCAGTGGAGTCAGTACAATATTTTTTTGTGAAATTATATACTTTAATTTTGATTTCTAGATTAAAACCTGCCTAGTGTCTTACGTTTACACTGTTGCTTACTAAAGCTGTTTGCAGTACATCAAGTCTGTCAATATTTCTAGATTTTTTTCTGGGAAATAATGCACCCTAATTTTTATTTCTTACTTTTACACCTGCCTAGTTTCTCCCTCTTAAATCATGGCCTTGTACTTACATACTGTGGAGCAAATGTGCACAGTTTTCCTGGCTGTTGTCTCATTCAACATTCATTGTGTCATATTCAACTGTAATTTATTACTTTTACCATTTGTTTTAAGTAGACCATATCAGGGAGTTGTTACTGACAGCCTGGTCAAGAGCTGCCTTTTTTTATCTCAGAACCTCACTGCATCTTTTGAACAGTTACAAATTCACCACACTGTATATAAGGCCCTCTCTGACATGACACGTGCAGCATGGCAAGCTAGTACCTAAAGTGCATGAAGGGCTACCTCCAAGCAGTGGACAAGCATGGACACCCAGTAGTTTATGAATGTGATCAGTAAAACAATGTGCACCCAAACAAAAAAAAACTACACACCAGGTTGTTAAAATGCAGTCACACATTCAACTCACTGCATTGAAGGCCCTCTCTGACATGTGCAACAGGGTAGGTTTGTAACCTCAGGCACATGTAGGACAACCTTCAACTAGTAGTCCAAATAAATAACATAACATTAAAAAAATCTGTTGGCGGGAAAGAAAATGGGTGGGTCTGGACCAGTGTTTGCCTCTCAGCTCTATCAAAGGTCATGTTTTTGCGGCAAAAATAGTAGGTCAGCTTTTCACCATCACTATGAATTGTGGCACTAATGCCTGAGGGTTGGTTCAGTCTTCACAGGGGAAGGCACTGATTTAACGATTTTATATCATATTAGGCACCAATACATTTTGTGGCTTGTATGTTAATATAGTTGTTCCAATGGTAAAACTTCACAGCATAATCAATCGGCTGATTTTGTGCCTCAAGCTGCCTTCAAAACATGAATAACCAAGGAATCTACATTTCTTGGCTTTTCTTTATTATTTTTTCCAGTGCACATTGTTTTGGTTAGAGTATGATTCCACTTTGTTTAGACCTACTGATTTGCACTGAATTCCCACCATACCATGCCAGCACCTTACCTTCAACTTGTGCTTTAATTATCTCTTTGCTGATGGATACACCTTTCTCCATAACTATGTTAGGATCAGCTAGTAGTTTTCCTTTAAACACATTTTTTATTTCTAAGACAAGATCGTCAGTGTCTTTAAGCTCTCCATTTTTAGATTTTTACCTCAGATTATGCATATATAAGTAGATATATTTATGCAATGCAGAACAGGATATGTGCTGCTTCTGTGATTCACAAAAAAGATTGTTTCACTCACTGATTCTGGCAAGTTAATATGAATTCTAGAAAGACAGATGGGATGTTGACAAGTGTCATTGACAATCTTTCCCGCAGAAGATATATTAGTGGATTGCTGGATAACTTGTTTGTTTGAGGCACAGCTAGTAGTTGTGCTTTAAGAAAACAACTATACAAGACTAAACAGTCTACTATGTTACAATAACTATCATTTTAAACAGTCAGGTTTGTTTAATTAGACACGAGAAGTAATGCCTACTAGTGATGGGCTCGATGTTCAAGCCAAACGTGAGTTCGACTTGAACATCGTGTTCAAGGCCTTCTGAAGTCATAATTGGCTAAAGCCTTGCACCTGACCACAGGTCAGGTGCAAGACTTTGCCCAATCATGGCTCTCACAGTTCTCTTTGCCCTGATTGGACAAAGTCATGATGATCTGCCCAATCATGACTCTGTCACAGCTAGCTCTGGCCAATTGTTTATAAGTTGCATCTGTCAAAATTTCATTCCGCGGCGGGTGTTCGTCGCAGCGGAAGGGGCAGCAGTTGTCGCTTTTTAAAAATTATTATTTCTATTTATTTTTTATTGTTTTATTTTTTATTTCATTGAGTCATCGTTGCTGTGGACAACACTGGATGTCGTGATTGACCCATCGATGGATCCATTTAAAATTTTTTTTAAAATAAAGGATTAGTCAAAACTCCTTTGTTGTGGGTTTTTTTTTCAAATAAAGGATTTTTTATTAAAGTCTGGTGTTTTTATTTAATCTTTTATTTAACCTTTTCGTGAATGGGTAGGGGTACAAGTACCCCTTACTCATTCACAAGGGGGGGACTGCATATGGGTGCCCCTTTTTTGTGGTGCCCTGATGTGAATAAGCCCCCTGCCCTCACCCCCACAACCAACACCCCAGGGCTTGTGGGGAAGAGGCCCTTGTTTCCATCAGCACGGGGACAAGGTGCTTTTCCAGGGGCATCCCTGGAAAAGCACCCTCTCAGTGCCGAGGGCATGTGGCCTGGTATCGTAGGGGGGGCGATCACTCGTCCCCGCTCACTCGTCCCCGCTCACTCGTCCCCACCCCTTTCCCGTCATGCCAGGCCTGTGCTCGGTTCAAAGGTCTGGTTGGGAATTTTAGGGGGGACCCCATCTTTCCCGCCCCCATTTTTGGGGGTGGGGTTCCTCCTTAAAATTCCTACTAGACCTTAAAGGCCTGGTAAGACTTTAAGTGGGAACCCCACACACTTTTTAATATTTTTTTTTTTTAACATGCGATCCTTCCTAAAATTCCTACCAGACCTTAAGGGTAAGTTACGACTTTTAGGGGGAACCCCACGCTTTTTTTTTTTAATGCGGTCCCTCCTTACAATCCTACCAGACCGAAAGGGTCTGGTATTGTTTGGGAGGGGGAACCGCATGCTTTAAAAAAAAAATGTTTTTTTTTCTTTAGAAATGTCAGTTTTGCTGCAGCAGGTTTTATACATCGTAAAGATGCACCACTTTACAGGCAGTTGAAGGGGACACCCCAGGCATGATATTTAAAGGAATTTTTCATTTTTATTGTTACACTTTAAGTGATGTTAAATCACTACTCCTTTAAAAACTGTATTTTTTAAAAGTGTTTTTTTTCATTGATTCCTGTCCCACAGGGCAGTACCCAGATCCCCATACACCTTTTGTATGGCCAATAAATTGCATATAAGGCTTCAAAATGGGGACATTAGATTTTTTTGATTTGAGTTCTACCCCCATAGACTTGCATTGAGTTTGAGTTCGAATTTGAACTTTTCCCATTTTCGAAAGTTCGAATTCAAATCGAACACAAGGGTGTTCGGTTCATCACTAATGCCTCAACGTAACGTAAAATGCAATGCATGTAGCCACATTTACCTTCACTTGTTGATTCCATCCTCGAAGCTGTGTTCACTGTGTCTCCAAACAAGCAGTACCGTGGCATTTTTGTCCCAACAACTCCAGCAACTACAGGTCCTGAAATAATACATTTTTCATTACATTGTAGATAATCTTCTATTTAGTAAAGATATAGGAAACAAAAGAAAAGGGAATAAAGGGATGGATTTATCTCTGTTACTTGAGTCTACCAAAGCTTACTCTTTTAATGACAACTCCTTTTGGGATGAAAATCAACAGTAAGCCTACTAAATAAAAGGTTGTATGACCCTGATATTTTTCTGATTGTAAGCTGCACCAATACCTGCACTGGCTGTTGGGAATAAGTTTAGTTGCCAATAGTGAATATGTGCATATTCATTCACTTAGGCTGAGTGTGTCCCATCTCCACCTACAAAGAGTCTACTGAAGCATTTCCCACATCATCTATCTAGTTTACCTAGTTGAAGCTGAATTCTGGGCACAACAAATATTGGGTAAAGACTTAGTTGCATGTGCACCTATAAGTAATGTGCCCTTTGTTTTTTTCTTCTGTGGTGTGTAGAGCCTAAAATCTATCTGAATAGGTTGCATTATCACAGTCACAAGACACCCATTTCCTCTCTATGCTCCAGTCCCACAGCCTGCTTTAAACATGCTGGGAGATCGGTCAATACACATCACCCTCAGCACTCATGTAATAAGAGCACAGGAGCGTCCATGGTTTACTCGCTTCTGTCGCTTGCTGTCTAGCACTGTCCCAATACTGCCCACTCTACCTCTCACACCTGTCCCCTTCTTCTTGCCTACACTGCAGGCATAGCAGGCTAAAGGTGGTCGCAAAGAGGTAGGGGAAGGTCTGCTGCTTTGTTCAGATCTGTCAGTATCTAGACAGGCCTGGAGCATAAGAAAGAAAATAATTGTGTGGAGGGACAGCATGACAGGGGGAGAAGGGGAGCCAGGTAGAGAAGGGTTAACTTCTAGGTAAAAGAAAGGGGTAGAAGGGGGGGTTGCTTATCGGATTGGTTGAAAGTTTGGCAAGGCGGTACTTCATTGTGATCCGTGCAGAGGTGGATGGAGTATTCCAGTGGAAGAAACTGCAGTCAGACGAGTGGCAGACTTTTGGGAATTTGTGTGTGGTGGCACACAAGGTTACAAAAACCACCCGCTAACTTGCATCTGTGGCATCCCCCCCGTCCTATTGTTTTTTTTTTGTCTTTTTTACTTTTTGTTGTTTTTAGGTTCTGAATATGTTGGCTCATCATTGCAGCCTTTTGGCGGTTTGGGGTCCTTGAAGGTTGTCTGGATGCCTGGTTTATTGGAATAATGATTGGGGACCCATCCTAGGTGGGGTGTTCTTAAGGTGGTGGTCAAATGGTTTGACCACTTAGTTTTGGGCTGAAGGTGTATGCGGTCAACAGATATTTGTCTCCGAGGTGGTGTTATCGCGGCTGGGGGCCCATCGTTACTTATCTGAAGCCGTAGATGCAGGTTATCAAGTAGTTTTTGTTACCTTGGGTGCCTTCAAGGACCTGGAAACCAGTTGTTAATTGTATAGCTGTGTTATTTTGTTTAATAATATTTTGATTATTTATGTATTTATTTTGATAATGAATTAAACAAGTGGCTGCTGTGGCCCCTTTTGAACTCCATACAAGTCTAGTGTGATTTCTCGGAAAATGGGTGGGGGTCTTAGCAAGTTAAGAGGGTTACCCTTGTCATGTGTTTGCCTGGACCCTGACAGCACCAAGTGAGGCAGCAAAACAGTGGATTTTCTGCTGGCCACTTATCTCTTTCTTCTTCTCTCTCCTGACCTTCAGACTGGTGTACATGCAATGTTTATACAGTGGTGTTGTGCCTTTCTGCTTCTTCCCTGCCATACGGGTGAGGCAAGGTAAGCAAGCAGCAGCAACATTGTTGTTCCGCTGCATTGCTCTGCGATGCCAGGATAATGTAGTTGCCTGAATTCTGACTGCACTGAACAAGACAGCAGAACAGTGGTGTTCTGTCTGGCTGCTCACCTTCCCTTCCTCTCCTTAACCACTCAGTCCACTGTACTTCTGATGCGGACACATAATAAAGTTGATAATTTCTATAATGTGTTTGTCGGTGGGGAAGGGGGAATGAGCAAAAAGCAGAAAAATGATTGTTCTGCTGCCTTGCTCAGCACCATTTATTTACCTGAGCACTCAAATGATTGAAGAAACTATTGAAATATTATAAATACGAGCAAAGTGTTGCTGTGATGACAGGGGAGTTCTCTGCTCCCCTGTCACAACCCACAGTGACATCCACATCAGTTCTGATAGGGCACCCTCTATCTACAGGAAGACACATAGGGTGCCCTGCAGACCCCTGCCACAGGTTCTAGCTAATGTTCATTCCAACGGAGACCTGGGGATGAGGCCGTAGAGAATAAAAAGGGGAAAACATTTTTTTTTGCTCCATTACATGGGGTCAGAGATGGAGCTTAAGATATGTTGTGTCTGTGGCCTGGAGTTTAGCTTTAAAACTACTGTTAAACAAGAGTTTTAAAAGGCTTACTATTACGATATACAGATATTAGATATTAGCAAGCTTAGAAAATGAACTGTGCCTGCTGTAGTTCTTTGACTTTGGTAAATATCCATGCAGTGTTGTAATCAATACGTTTGGTAGAGTGGCAAAACATACCAGAATGAATTCCAGCACGGATCCTGAGCTGAGTGTTTGGCTTATGAGGGATTTGAAAAGTCTTGCACACAGCAACTAGATCTAGAGCCATGCTTGCAATTTCACTGGCATGGTAAATACCATTCTCTTGAGGCACTCCAGAAACAACCATATCTTAAAAGGAAACATATGAATTGTTTACGTAAAAACACAAGCATAGATGACATTCTAGTAAAAAATAACAGTATACAGTAATAACAACTCTATAATGTGCTCTCTGTGTAACACATTAAAGTATTTAGGTTGAAAAGAGTGCTGCAAGGAAATCTGATTTTACACATATTAAATAGGAATATTTCTGTGGTGCCACCTTTTAATAGACCTAATAATTATAAATGTTACCCATCCAACTGGATTCAAAATGACATGTGTTTAGTATATAGGAAGAATGTATAAAGGTTTTATGGGTAATGTAGGCACAACACTTTTTACATGTGTGTTTCAAAAGAAACTGGACTGTGGCATAGATAAAGATAACTTCAGATTGGTTTCCAATCCAGCAACTGTGTTACTTAGATTATGCAGAAAATGATCATATAAAATAGCAGTATAAAAAGTAATACATTCCACCACTTACAGGCATCACCTATTGTCTCTACTTTATAGACGTCATAATTGTCAATGATGTCATCAAAGGTTGTGTAGAGTTTGTTGAGGAAATCTACCACCTGGTATGGTGTACTGGTGCTGGACAGATGGGTGAACCCCACAATGTCACTGAGGAAGGAAACAAATACAGTATATTAAGCTAAAGTCAGCCTGCATTAAATATTGAATAGTGGAAAGATTCACAGTGCAGTGGAAATAAGGGAAAATATTACTATTGTAGGGACCCTGCCCTATGCTGCTTTTTAAATTTAGTGTGTTTTGTTGCTAGAGTGTAACCAGCCTGAGTTGTTATTTACCTTTGTTTTATAGGCTTTATAGTTTTTTCCTAAGCTCAGTAGGTTCATTGCTTCTGCTTGAAGGAGGTTTCAGTAATCAGAGTGGGAAGGTCAACCCATGAGTTGGGCCTTGTCTTGGTATCACCTAGACCTTTGTCAAGCCTGGAGATTCAGCATCACCTAGCCTGCCTAGAATGCCCACTCCTCCAGAATGCCTTCTACCCATCAAAGCATTCTGAAATTTGCATAACTCTAAGAGCCAGCCCATCACTTGCATTAGGTTCAAGAGCTCTTTAGAGGAGTATTGAGGTAGTGCTCCATGATGTTTTCAGGAAGCTATGTACAGCACCCTGCTAAAGACTGAGTAAATTCTTCAACTACAAATTCTGCTTCTGTCTCATCTGTATATGAAGGGGTATATCCAGTTTCTTCAAAAGTCTTTATATTTAACTTTAAGTAGTAATACATTATAATATGCAATAAATTGAGAGTTGTTTCCAGAACGAAACTGTCAACATTCAGAATTATCAGCAGGTGACAATATCTGACAACTTCTTTGTCTGTTTTTTTTTTTTTTTGTAAAATATTCCTTTTGACCTTCTACCAGTATGATGACATATATTTTAATCCACTAATCATGACTCAATGATATATTGTCTAAAGACTGACATAGTGAATATGCTATACATTTAATACATCCACACATTCCTGACACAACCAAGCATTAGTCAATTAGTGTAGTAATCCTTTTACTCTATAACAGCAAGACATCTTGGCTCATAAAAACGCATTGGCGCCTATTTATTAAAAGATTTGCATAGCTATTCATCCCACCAAACTGCATGTACATTCGTTCTGTGCAAGTAATCCAGTTGTGAGAATGGTGCAAAATCTAACGTTCTTTGGGCACTTTCTCTTCTGCTCGAATGTTCTTAAGAATATAAACAGCATAAATCATCTGGTACTTGCAAATGAAATGAGCACTAGTACATTATGAATAGTCCTTTCCGTTCCGTTCCGATAACACAGGTATTACTCTAAGTAAGTATATTAGCCACAGAAGTGCTATAAATATTAATCCTATAAAATGGTGCAGGTTATTGCCTTTGGCAGATAGAAACAAAGTTGGAAAACAGAAAAAATAAACATACTTACTGCTCTGGTGATCTGTGCAGAGTCAGTCACAATATACTAGTGCTCATTTCAAGAACATTCGAATTTGTCTCATGGTCACAACAACTGGTTAATATGCACAGAACCAAAAGTACAAGCAATTTCGCTGGACGAAAAGCTGTGCAATTTTCTAAAAATAGACCTCACAGTGTAATCTGTATTGTGGAAATAGAAACCTTTGATTTCCAGATTACACTAAAGTAGTATTTTAAATGCTGAACACGTGATGCCACGGGAGAGTGGCATCAGGTATTGACAGGGGGTAATCAGGTCGAAATTGTTATCATAGGCTGTCAGCTTGTTTTAGTTTGGTTGCCAATGTATGTAACATATGCTACCTAAAATTACTAATGCATCTGAAAAATGTATGGGTATCCTTATAGAACTTTGAAAAAAGTAATGATTCCTAGCTAAGATTTGCTATTTCATTTTTTCTGAAAAGCCATATTAGAATATCCACTTAATTCATGCAGAACTGAAGTAGAAACAGCTTTGCTTCAGCGTTTAGCACTCCACTAGATGGTCAGCTTATATCTACCTTCAAACAAACCCTCACAAGGCCACTTATTGGCTAGTTGTACATGGTCATCTGAGGCCTGCCCAAGATCCACCTGCCCTTAAGGTTCACTGGACCTGAGGTGCAGCTTGCCCACCCTGGTAATTAAATGTAGGTGTATGAATCAGAAGTGCTGGTTTCCGGGTTCAGTGAACTCTCCAGTGGTTCATTGGATCGAAGGACATTTTCAGCCCCTGAGCACCAAGCATACACAGAGGCAGACAGGGCTTGGATGGTCCTCAGAAGCTCAAGAACACCTAAAAGTACTCTTACTGGGTGCTATCACAGTGCAAAGTCATTTCTCAGCAGGGTAAGAATTGTCTTTATTACCAAAAATGAAGACCATATTAAAAATAAAAGAATGAAATGCATTTCAAAGCTTGGAAATGTTTAGTGGGTTTTCTGCGCAACATAACAGACATAAACCTTTTGGGGACTAGTTATAAAAAAAAAAGTGAGCTGACTGGAAGTATTGTTCCTCTTTATGATTCAAACTAGCAGTTTAGGCATCTGACGCCGGTCATTGGCTTAAGAGCAGTACCTTACAAAAACAGACATCATTTTGTAAAAGACAAAAGCAGTGAAAAGAGACACTATAACAGACCAGCGGAGCCTATTTACACTGTATCAAAAACTCCTCTATTGTTACAATTTACAGAATTTACAAAAGTAACTAATTTAGGGCTGCAGCTAATGATTATTTTCATAATCGATTAGTTGCCTGATTATTTTTTTCGATTAATCACTTGGTTGCATTACAAATCTCTATCTCTCTCTCTCTCTTCCCTCTCTCTGTCTCTCTTTTCTCTCTCCCCCAACTAACCGATAATGAGAATAGTTGCCAACTATTCTAATATCTGATTATGAATGATTAGTTGTAGCAGCCCTAAAGCATTAACCTCGCACCGCGCCCAGATACCCGAAATTAAAAACATAAAATTGATAATAAAAGCTGCACTAAGTGAATTAATCTGCAAAGTATCAGATACAATTGATACTAGTTGTAAAACATGTGATACAATGTGAAAAGAATAACAAACAAAACTCACGTGTGTATCATACACCTCAGTGCAAATAATACATTGCTACAAAAATGTCCATAATCATGCATCTTCAACAGTCCGTTATTATTATTATTATTATACAGGATTTATATAGTTCCAACAGTTTGTGCATCGCTTTACAATATAAGGAAGACATTACAATACAATTCAAGACAAGATGGTAAGGAGGGTAACAGTCCGTTATGAAATAGAAGATATAGAAGTGGATGGAAGGTAATGACAGTCTCCTGTGACCATCACCAGAGATATCAAATGGAATGCACCTCACCTTCAGCAGAGACCCTCCAGGGTCTGTATGCGCTGTTCCTGTGATTAAAACCAGGTAGAGGAAGCACCTGATGCCAAACACTTCCCAGTGATTTCATCCTCTCAGGTTCAAACTCCCATTGCCAGCCTCAGGAGTTTAAAGCAGTCAATTAATCCAAGTGGACCATGCATCAAAAAAAAGGGGAAACTCGTAGTACTCGTGGTTTTAAACGTATAATATATTGTATTAAAAGATACTATTCACATTCCATTGGTATGAGTCTGCACTGCGAGTTTCCACTTTTTATTTGATGCATAGTCCATTTGGATGAATTGGCTGCTTTCAATATACAGTATGAGGGTAGTTGAGTCACCATATTTTTCAAAAGTTCATCAATGTATTTTCACATGTTCTCTAAGGGACCTCCCACTGCAGATACGATTGGTTGACCCGGTGGGATGTCTTTATTTTTGTAAATTTTATGTATAATATAAATTGTTGGAATATTGAACCGTTTCGATCCACAGGAATTGATATTGTTTTTGGGATAGTAAGTCCTCTTCTTCAGCCATTTATAACATAAAGTTAAAGTCACCTTATTAAATGGATTCTCTTTTATCTATCACTAAGAACACGTCTCACTTCTGCCACATACATCTCCTCAGGTAACAATACTACATTTCCTCCCTTATCATTCATATTTATTATCAAACCATTATTATCCTTATGATTTTTTTAGTTTCTTCAATGCTTTTCTCTAATTTGCAGAGTGATTATCTCCATATTTGGTCATTCAGTCTACTGATCTCAAATCTTGTACTTAGTCCAAAAACAGACTTATATGTCTATTAATGGAAAATGAGGGCATTGTCTTAGATTTTTTCCCTAACTGGGTTAACATTTTGTCAATAGTTGGGGCCTCCATGTCCATTTCCTCCTCTATGTCCTCCTCCAATAATGTCACAAGGTCATGATAGACCTGTGAATCCAGTGGACTGATCTTTTTATCTTCTTGTGGTTCCTTAATTTTATTTTTCTGTGAATATTTTAGATAAACTTTCCGTAGAAAGAGATTTAGATCCTTGAAGATGACAAATTCATCCATACCCTATACAGGGGAGAAAGAGAGACCCTTATGCAGTAAAGTTTCATGATCCTCACTAAGCTGGAAATATGTTAATGTAATAATCTCAATTTCTTCCTCCTCCACTTGTAACTGTTCCTTTCTTACCTCCGTTCATTCCTTGTCCGTATTTTCACCTGGTTCTCCTGTTGTATTACCTGTCTTTTTGATCTCTTTTTCCTCCTCCATCATCTTTTCCTTTTTGGTCCTGCCTCACCAGAAGCACGTGCTCTTCTTAGTCTAAAAAACGTACTATCTTCTTCTGATTCTCCCCTTCACTATCACTGATTGATCTCTCATCCCTCGTTTTTTCCTTACTTTTATAAAATCTCCTTCTAGAAAAACTCCCCCTTTTTCTGAGACAAATCAAAAATATCACCCTTCTCCCAATCCACCACATCTCTTTCATCTGCTAAAGTATGAATGTTTGCTATAGTGATCAGTCAGATTCCTTGTTTTATTTTCCCGGAGAATAAAGATGGGACCTGATTCATTACACTCATTCACAGAAACACATTACACTGCACATACTAAGGCAAATAAAAGTTCTGTTGACTTGGTCCTACCTGAAAAATACAGTTGCACTGGTGTAACTTTGAGCTTGTGAATGTTTTCCTTGTCTCAGATCATCTGCAACCTGTTTTGGCAGCATACCTTTGGATAAAGAATATGTGGAAACAATACATGTTATCAAAGTCTAACGATTAGTTAATGTTATGTGTGGGGTCTATTGCCACCGTCATCTCATATATTTATTAGTTATCACATGTTAGATAATTTATTCCCCATGATTGTTTGTACCTATTCTTTTGTCAAACAAGATTAGTCAATCAAATATCTTTTTAGGTAATAACTACATAAAGGTGAGGCCATGGGTCGGCGGCATTTGCATCCTGAGCCAGGACTAGTAAGATATACTGGGCTGGGGTCCGTGAATGGACATATTTCATCATTCAGTTAGAAAGAAACCCGCACTTAGTGATACATAGTAGGCATGATATAGCTACCTGCTCCCTATTCAGACCTGTGATCACAGTATTTGGAAGTATGAAGTCTTCCAGCACCAACTTGCTTTGTTTCTTTTGGCAAACAAACAAGTAAAGTAAGCTGATGCTGAAAAATGTAAAAAGTAGGGATGCAGGATACCAAGTACCGTACTTGGTACGGGTACAAGTAAAGATACTTTTCCAGCTACTAGACAAGAGAAAAAATCAAAAGTTAGGAGGTAGCTGTTATTTTGAGGAGCATTTGCTAAAGGGCTTATGGGATTTATGCATCCCTGTTGTAATGTATGATTTGTATGATGCCCACCAATCACCATGGCACACTTTCCATCGTTCACTTTTATTTAGAACACACAAATCTGTTACTGTAATGAAAGGGCAATAGGAGGAGCTTTTACTGTATAAATTATGGCTTAAGTATTATCTTTATTAGATATTCAGAGATATGGGAATAAGTGTAAACCATTGATTGTATATCTGCATGTTATGCAACTCCCATCTTCCCAAATGTGTGACTGAGTCTTTCTGCTTCAAAAGCCTTACTTTTGTTTTGTTTGCTTATCACATCTCACATGGGTGGTTAACAGCAAACCCCTTTTAAACCCTCCAATCACGTTGTGCCCCATGTACAATTTGTAGACACTGTACAGAAAGGAGGGGATATAGGGTAATGATACCAAGCCATGTTTTCTCTTTTCCCTGGGAGACAAAAGCAATCAGTATGAACTGACATGAAGCTGACAGGTATTGTTATGTATGCTATATGTAAATATGTAACTCTACCAATACATGTATATTGTATTGATGATTGAAATGCTTCTTTTGTCCAAAAATCCTCAGAATGTGTTTATGTGAATACTCTTATAGTGATTGGAATATATTTACCAATCCACTTAGCCTAGTTAACAGCCACTTGGTTATGTTTGCATCCAGACAAAAGCTACTATTCCCCCCTGTCTACATAGTTGTCAGGATCCAGAGCACCCCCAGGTGGCGCTGGAGCCAGGTCCTGCAGTTCCTGTGCTCGCCTGCGGGTGTCTCCAGCAGCCAGTGACTGTAAGGAACCTGCAGCTCCAGTACTCACCTGCGGGTGTGCCCCAGCTGTGAGTGATCATCCCATCACCTGGTGCTTCCTGGGAGGGTATTTAGGCCCTCCCTGCAGTCAGGAAGCTGGCTCAGTATTGTGTCGCCTGCACTTGACTGCTACCTGAACCCAGCTACCTGAACCCAGCTACCTGAACCCAGCTACCTGAACCCAGCTACCTGAACCCAGCTACCTGAACCCAGCTACCTGAACCCAGCTACCTATCTGCAGACCTGTCACCGACCCGGCTTGTTACCTGACCACTCTTCTTGGATCCTGTTTCTGTACCGTGCTGCCCTCCTGTTAACGACCTGGCTTGTACCTGACCATTCTTCCTAAATCCTGTACTGTGCTGCCCTCCTGTTAACCCTCCTTGTTACTTCACTGCTAAACCTGTGGGGGTTTGAGGGGGTTAGTAGTTTTGTTTGATGGTAACAAATAAACTGTGCATAGAACCCTATCCTGTGTGGGCATATTAATTTGGTCATCCTGCGTGGGTACCTGCATGAGGTGTGAGGACGCCTGTACACGGTACCCTGACAATAGTATCTAGTAACTTAAATAAGCCTTCATTATCTTTAATGAGTTTTGCCTAACACAAACAGCACTTATGTGTCTCAGTCCAGGTGTTCACATCATTTTGTTATTTCTAGTGTTTTTTCTGCTGTTCAAACTGGATATACTATTACTAACAAAAGTAAACTTATGTTATGTATTGCAAAATAGGCACTACTAAAGGTATACCTTTATTATGACAGCTCATCCCCTCTCCAGAATGCCCTGAAAAACCCAAACTTCATGACTTGAGGAGAATGTGCACACTTATGCCTAAAAGGCAGTGAATAGTACCTACGTAAGCAAGCATTTTTATATGGGTGAGCTGCCTATCCAGACATTAGGTTTCAGTGTGTCTAATTTTCAACGGAATTTGTAGTGGTTTTGAACAGGTTTTTTCTTTGTTTGTTATGGTCATGAATAAAATATAACAAAAACGTATATTTTTTCTTTTATTCCATTAAATATGAAATATTACATAATAATATTATGTAGCCTCCTATCCAACATTTGGGTAGAGCTTTAAGGTGCCAATACACCTTACGATTATCGGCCGATTTTTGTATGCGATCGCGTTTTAGTCCGATATTCGTAAGGTTGATGGGCGGTGTACAACCGCAAATACTGTACATTCGATGGACTTTTGACTATCCAGCAGGGTAGAAAACTTTGGTCGATCGTATGATTTTCGCAAGGTTGGTGGCGTTTCCGTACGTCAAAATTTGTACGAATAACACTGCTCATGCGAAACAAAAATAAGTGCGGTCGATTACCGCAATTCGTACAGGTTTTTTTTTTTACTACAGCTGATTGAAGCTTGCAATAATTGGGGCAGGATAGGGCCACCATACGAAAATGGTACGACGATTCGACCATCGGACGAAAAGTTTTCTCAGATGATCGCAAGGTGTATGGACATCTTTAGTCTCTAGTAGCTTTTACATTATTAGTAGGACTATGTTTCAGCTGTGCTGAAAGAAGTCTATTGCTTAAAGAAATTTAATAAATAAACAAAAAAAAGAAAACAAAGGTTGTACAGTGGGCATAGAAAAGAATCACCCCACCTTTAAAATAATTACATTTTGTTGCTTTGCAGCCTGAAATTAAGACAGACACAGTTTTATCCAGCTGTATTTACTCATTGCAACTTATAACATCCAATTAAAAGATATAACACCAACGTGTCAAAAAAAAAAAAAAAAGGATCACCCCCTCCAGAGGCAGCTCTTTAATTAGGCGAGTTAGGCAGTCGCCTATGGCATCGCGCTCACAAAGGCCTTGCAGCTGCCTAACCCGCCTAGTCTAAAGCAGGGGTAGGCAGGGCTGGCGCTGTGGGCGGACAGAAAAAAAAAACACCTTCAGCTGCGGCCTGCGCTCCTACCGCCCCCCCACTCTGCTCCATTCACAGCCCAGCCTGGCTTTATTACTAATGTGGCAGTGCAGCCCCAGCAACAAGAGCAGGAGGAGAGAAAGCAAGGCAGCTAGGACAGCCCCCTCTTCCCTTGGGAGGGGGGCCTGGAGATAAAATCTTGCACCAGGGCCCTTTATTCCTTAGGTCCACCACTGCGACCAGAAATGCTGCCAGCTCACCAGCATATTGTGTCCCAGCACCCGCATGTAGGTCCCGCAACTCCGCACATACTGGGGGACAGGCTATCTAGTCCCCCTGCTGTGCCTGTATGTGGATTCAACACAGGCAGGCCAGCCTGTCACCTCAGCAGGTGCTGTGCTGTCCCAGTGGGTATGGCACAGCCCCGCTTACAACGCTGTTCCTCCTCTTCTGGGAACAAAAGGCATGCTCTAAGCTGCGGTCAAGCCGGAAAAGAGGGGAGCTTGTTGCTGGGGCAACCCGATGTTAAGCATCACCCTAAGCGAGACATGTAACCCAATCCGTGCTGTACCTTATTGCCGTTTACCCTTTGCTGTGCCAGGATTGCTGCCCTGTGACCCTGAACTTTATCCTTGCTGTACCTTATTGCCGTTTACACTTCACTCTCTCCCTTGGTTGTCTCTCATCACTCTGTCTCCTGGCTGTCTCCCTCGCTCATCCTCCTTGCTTTCTCTTCTGCCTGTCGCGCTCTGATCTCTCTCTTGGCTATCTCTCCTCAATCTCTCTCTTGGCTGTCTCTCCTCTCTCCTGGCTGTCTACCTTCGCTCTCTCTCCTGGCTGTCTACTCTGCTCTCTCCTGGCTGGCTACCCTCGCTCTCTCTCTGGCTTTCTCCCCTCGCTCTCTCTCCTGGCTTTCTCCCCTCGCTCTCTCTCCTGCCTTTCACCCCTCACTCTCTCTCCTGGCTTTCTCCCCTCGCTCTCTCTCCTGGCTTTCACCTCTCGCTCTCTCCTGGCTTTCCCCCCTCGCTCTCTCTCCTGGCTGTCTACCCTGCTCTCTCCTGGCTGTCTACCCTCGCTGTCTCTCCTGGCTTTCTCCCCTCGCTCTCTCTCCTGGCTTTCTCCCCTCGCTCTCTCTCCTGGCTTTCTCCCCTCGCTCTCTCTCCTGGCTTTCTCCCCTCGCTCTCTCTCCTGGCTTTCACCTCTCGCTCTCTCCTGGCTTTCACCCCTCGCTCTCTCTCCTGGCTTTCACCCCTCACTCTCTCTCCTGGCTTTCACCCATCGCTCTCTTTCCTGGCTTTCACCCCTCACTCTCCTGGCTGTCTACCCTGCTCTCTCCTGGCTGTCTACCCTCGCTGTCTCTCCTGGCTTTCTCCCCTCGCTCTCTCTCCTGGCTTTCTCCCCTCGCTCTCTCTCCTGGCTTTCACCTCTCGCTCTCTCCTGGCTTTCACCCCTCGCTCTCTCTCCTGGCTTTCACCCCTCACTCTCTCTCCTGGCTTTCACCCATCGCTCTCTTTCCTGGCTTTCACCCCTCACTCTCTCTCCTGGTTTTCTCCCCTTGCTCTCTCTCCTGGCTGTCTCCCCTCGCTTTCTCTCCTGGCTGTCTTTCTTCGCTCTTGCTGTATATTCTGCAAAAAAAACAAAATGCTGCACAGCGCTGGAGTGTTCGGGTTTCGCTTAAGAAAAGGTGGCAATCCTAATCAGCTCACTGCCCGGGTGAAACGGGACCAGGGCTGGTGCTAGCAAAAAACTGAGGATGCCGGGAAGAGGGGGGTAATGGTGTTTTGACCTGTGTAGGCAAAATCCCTGAAACGGCCCTGGGGCCCCTCTGCTGGACATCCGCCTCACTCTGCCATCACATGATCACAGATCAATTATAATTTTTTCATTATGAGTGTAAGTGGGGCTTTGTAAGCTATTCTACTTATGCCGGCCCGTTCCTGTATCCTTTGTTAGCCAATTGAGTTTTGCCTAAGGCCTCACTAAGTCTAGAGGTGCCTCTGACCCCCTCCAAAACATGACTTGTAAACTCAATCAGGTGTAGCTAATCACCTTCTCAATGCCACACAAAGCCATTTGACTTTCAACTGTGATCAGCTTTGGTCATTTTGATTGGCTCAGCATCAATATAACAGAAAAATACCTGACAGTTTTCTAACTCTTCCTCACTCTATCAACAAATATGAAAAGGCTTGGCCTGGACATACACTTCAAGTTATTAAATATATTGTTTTATTCCCATGCTGATACTATATAATGCATACTTTTAGGATGAGTAAACAAGGATACTTCAAATGAATATATTTGCACAATTTCTTTGCTTATTTTTTATTTCAGTTTCCAGCTCTCAGAAAATATATACTTTTTCTTTCTCCTTTATATTTTGTGTAATTTACAAAATTTCAAATAAATACAGATGATAGCTATTAATCACCAGTGAAGCCATAAAACTACAAATGGGTAATTAGAAGAAATGCATTAGCTTACTGTACAGTAATGTGTCTGTTTTTTGCTTTTCATGCATTAGATCTTGGGTACGTTCAGCAACTAACAGCTCCAGATGTTTACTATATTTTTCCATCTAGGAAGAAAAAGAAATGCAAATGATTAATTATGTGTTAGCATAAGCATAAAAAGTTTCCAGCCTATAGTATGTTGCAAATTTATGAATCCCAACACTGGTTGAACAGAATTAATCATAGATCACATATACGGTATGTATTCCAGCTATTTGGTTTGAGTTTTGATTTAAAGATTTCCAATTTGTAAACAAAAATGTGTTGAGGAAAATTGCCTTTACACTACCATTTAAAATCCACCACTGGAACATACTGGTTTTAATAAAGTATATTGAAAACCCTTTAAACGTAGCCTTATTTATATGTACATAATATCACTTTCATTATGGCGGCAAGAAAGCAATATCAGATCATGGCACTTAGCATTTGAAATGGAAACATAAAGCTTATTTAAGCAGTTCCAGTAAACAGAGAGGTCTAGAACCTAGCTATCGATCATTGTACACCTTGAACTAAGCAGCAAAAACACAAACTGGAGAAGCAAATTAGACATATCTTAAAACTGCACAGTAGGATGGATTGCAGATTTAAAGTGCATTAAAAGAAAGACTTCAGCCCAGGTAAGCTTGTGATGGGAATACAACATCGGCTGAAATGCATCATTCAGCATACAAGCCATTTCTTCTGCAGTTTCAAAGATGGAATAAACACATTCATTTTTAGAAGTATTATGATGTTAAGAATTTTAAAATATGTAATTAATATCTAATAGCTTTAATATAACTGTACAGGTCAGTGGTTATTTGCTATAGCCCCTAACCAATTCTAACTACAGTGGCCTTATTTAATAGGTCAGGAAGCAATATGCCAAGTGTAGTAACACACAGTTCTGATCAGTATTCAGCTTTCATTGTTTTGACTGTTCTAAATTGATAACGTTTAAAATGTACTGTGTTAACACCATCATTGTGGTTTACACTGGTATTGAAACATTATTTGTAATGTAACATAGTAGATGAGGTTAAATAAAGATGCAGATCCATCAAGTTCAACCTATGTATATGTGTGTGTGTCTGGATATACTAGGGTCTAGTAATTCCCATATCCTTGTATATTTAGTGAAATAAGAAACTCATCTAAAAGTTTCTTACATTTATTCATGGTATCAGCAGATACTACTGACTGTGGAAGCGAATTCCACAATTTTACTACTCTCACAGTGGCACTTACCATACCACCCCATACAACCCTGCACGACCATGTCTCAACGCAGGAAGGATGGCGGCACACCTTTGCAACGGAATACCCCGTCCTTGCAGCGCTACTTTTCCTCTACACAGACCAGGACCCGCAGCCGGGGACAATCCAATATGGCGCCGGATGCCGGACAGCCATCCACAACACGAGGCACAGAACGCTCGCCCTCACCTGGCAACACTGACCGACGTCCAGGCTCGCGTTCACCGCGGATGTATGAGTCCGACTCCACGGATGGGGATCACTACCAGGCCTGCAACCTGCCATCGGATATACCGCGAGAGTTCCGAGCCCTTCTACAATACCTACCTACAAAGGAGGACTTTGCGGCCCTGGTCACGAGAGTGGAGACAGCGCTCCAGCGAGACCTGCATAAAATGCGCCAAGAGGTACAGGCGGTATCCGTGGAGGTCTCCGCGGTCTCGGCATCTTGTGCAACGATGGAAGCCAGGGTCCAGCGACTCGAGCAGGCCCAATCGGGTCCTTCCTACCAGCTCGCGGCCCTCCAAATACAAATGGAGGACCTGGAAGACCGCAACCGACGCCAGAACATCCGGATCCGAGGGCTTCCTGAGGCGACCCTGCCAGCGGATCTCCATTCCTCGATACAGGCCGTCTTTGGCTCGCTGCTGCCTGATTCCACGCCGGAATCCATCTTGATTGACAGGGTGCACCGAACGGCTGGCCCTCCATCGACTGATGTTTCCCGTCCGCGAGACGTCCTGTGCCGACTCCACCGTTACACCGTGAAAGAGGAGGTTCTGCGTCAGGCCTGGCTGAAACGTCCCGTGGAGTTCGACGGGGCCCCCCTGCAGATATTGCCGGACATCTCCCGTAATACCCTCCGCCGCCGAGCCCTCATGCGGCCTCTTCTGGAAGAGATTCGGCGGGCGGGGGCCATCTACCGTTGGGGGTACCCTATACGTCTACACGTCCGCAAAGGCAGCTCCACGTTTCTGGTCCGATCCCGGGCAGATGTCCCGGCCGTATGTGAGCTCCTCGGAATCCCCACGATACAACTGCCGGACTGGTTAGCACACTTCTCGGAGGATCAGGCCGCAGCACCGAGACCTCGCAGAATCCGACGGGCCCGTCGCTCCTCCTCCAGCGAGAATCCTGCCCGACCAGTCGAAGATGCGCTGGAAGCATCGGAATCCTGAATGGGGTGAGATAGCTCCATGTATCCCCCAGCCAAACACTCCTGCTTCAGTCTGAGCTGCGGACTTGCCCTTCTTCCCTTCTGCTATATGTCCCCCTTTGGTCCCTGGAGAAACAAACCGCGGGGTCTACCCCCTCTACCTAGCCTTTAGCTCTTAAGACCTTGTCGACCCCAGCCTCACTTTGCCGGCCACCCACTCACCCCCGACATCCGAGACCCCGCTTATCCCCCGCATGGTCCCCCCTCCCCGGGGAGCAGCTTGTTTTGGATGTGGGGAATCGCTACACCGGTTCACTGTATAGGTCATTCCCCCCTGCTGGACCCTGGGTGAGGGGCTATGAGGTTTGGGCCACCGTAGTATGTCCGTTTATTATTGCCGCAAATGTGTTATACTTGTGTGCAGACGAGTTATCTCTGTAATGGTCCCGGTGTGTGGGACCGCCCGTACTTGGGGACATGATGAAGGTCCCTGACCGAGGGCTCCTGGGGGTGTCCCCGTCTTGTAAGCCCCCCTGGCGGTTGCGCCCCTGAGCCTCCTTACGGGGTTTCGGGGGGAGGGGGCTCCGGAGGGGATCACCCCTTACGCAACACCTGGTCCCGCTTGGGGGGCGGGCCCTTGCACCGGATTCCAGAGTTCAGACGTCTTGACCGCCATACCTAGGGACTGTATGTTATGGGTATTGATCATAACCTACTGATTGTGCAATGTTAATGTTACTGTTATGTACTGCTGCTGTTGTTGTGTTTAGTTTGATGAACATGTCGCGGTGCCCCCACGGAGCACCACTCTGCCTGAAGTGCAGACTCGTTTCCCCACTTAGTTTGTCCCGAAAGTGCCTGACAGGCCATTGGGACATTGAACCTCGGTTCACATCTTAGCCCCTCCCCTCCCCTTCTTCTCTTTTCTACCCTTACCCACATTTGGGTAAAACACTCCCCCCAGAGTCTAGATACGCCCTCCCTTCCTGCCCTATTCTCACCGGTGACCCTTCCCCCCCCCCACCACAATCCAGGGGATGGCAATGGCGACTGAATGAATCGCTCATTCAGGATCCTGACCTCCTACCGGAAATAGAACGAGACCTGAAGGTATATTTTGAACTGAACTCCACCCCGGACTGCTACCCATGCACGATCTGGGAAGCCCACAAGGCCTACATTAGGGGGACCCTGATAAAGTTAGGTACTAGACATAAAAAGCAAAGGCTTGAGCAGCAGGACGCACTCCTTACACAGATCCATACCTTGGAGCTACTTCATAAGCGACGACATGACCCGACCGTCCTGGCCCAACTACGGACTGCCAGGGACTCCTTGTGCTCACTGGAAATGGACAGAGCCAAAGCTAATCTTACCAGATGCCGCCGGCATTTTTATGAATTCGGGAATCAATGTAGCCATTCCCTTGCGCAAGCCCTACGTCAACAAAGAGCTCGTACCTTTGTGCCGGTAGTCAAGGCCCACTCTGGCAATACCTGCCACCTCTCGGAAGACATAGCCGCCGCGTTCCGCGATTACTACGCCACCCTTTACAATCTACCGACCCCCCAGACCGCTTCGGCAACGACAGCGCGACAACGGTTCTATCTGATCCCTTTGGCATAAGTAATGGCACGAGGCAGGGCTGCCTGCTCTCCCCTCTCATCTTTACACTGACACTCGAACCACATCCGGGGTATCTCCATGAGGTCCCACCAACATAAAGTTGCTGCATATGCAGATGACCTGCTGTTTTTTGTTTCGTCCCCGGTCACCACAATGCCAAACCTAATATCAACGTTTCGCCACTACGGCAAACTCTCCAACTTCCATATCAATTCCCAAAAATCAGAAGCCCTGAATTTGACGGTTCCCCCACGGATGTTAGCTAGTATCCAGGAGACCTTTCCTTACCAATGGTCCTCTACCTCCCTTAAATACCTAGGGGTGAGGCTACCTAGGGACCTGACGCAATTATACGGTATTAATTTCCCTCCCCTACTTCAGAAGGTCAGATCGGACCTAGTTTTGATGGGCACGACACACTGAGGAAACACCCGACGGTGGGCCCTACATGGCAGATGGCGCAGAGGGCATTTACAGAGAGGAGCCTATCCCCCTCTCCTTCGCCCATGTACCCGGTCATGGGAAACCCAGAGTTCGTCCCGGGTCTTGAGGGCGGCTTATTCCGCCGCCTCACGGCCCTGGGTCGATTTCGGGCTATGCATCTCCTACAGGGTACACAGTGGCAGTCCCTACGGGACCTCTTAATGGACACGTCACTGGGAGAACCCGGTTACTGGCGACAGCTTCAGCTCTCCCACTTCCTTTCTTCACTACCTGACCCAGCCGTGTATACCCGAGTCCCATCGGACTTTGAACGCACTTGTCTGGACGTAGGACCCTTACCTAAGACTTTACTCTTGGAGGCAGACCAGGTATCACCGCTTCCTTACATAGGACAATGGGAGAGGGAGCTGGGGGTCCAGTTCTCACAAGATGAGCAGACCAGGTTGCTGAGGCTATCCCTGAAGTCGTCAATTTGTAACAAATACCAGGAGTCTGGTTACAAGGTTCTGACCCGCTGGTATAGAACTCCCCACAGGCTTTATGTGATGTATAACGAGGTCCCTGACGTGTGTTGGAGGTGCGGATCCTCCTCTGCAG